GATCCAGTCCTCTTTGCTAGTGGGACCATGCCCCTGGGCTTTCAGAATGTTATCACCATTTTGACAAATATGTTGAAAAAAGCTTTTTTCTTTTATCTGTAACAATAAAATTATGAAAAAAGCAATCAGATGTGTGTGCTATGAATAGAAACTTTTTTAACCTTAATGGACGATACCATCGATCTTTTTCTTTTCGCTGTTTTCTTTTTTTTTCCCTTTTTTTTTTTTTTTTTTGTTAACCAAATCAAGCATTAGTATATGCTGGGAACCGGGCCCAGCGTCCCTCACAAAGGTGCCGCAGTTCTCTAGCTGAGCAAGACACTTCGCCCAAGCAGAATCAACGAAAGCACGAAACCAACTCACCGTAATATGCCCTATCCAATCCAAAAACCAAAACACAAAACCCAAAGAGTGATAAGTCCTATTCAATCTAAAAAGATCTTCTTTTTTTTTTTCTTTTTTTTTCTTTTTTTTTTTTTTTCCGGAAAACAGTGCTCCAAAGTTCAATCTAAGAGAATCTAACAAATCTCTCATAGTGCACAATTAGGATTGCATAGTGCATAATTAGGATTTCGTCATTTTCGTATGGTAAGAGGAGACTGTTTACCCCGTGGCCTTCTCTATGATGTAAGGGATGCTGATCATGCCGGACCCGTTTCCCGGCTTGTATAATTCAAAAGCAGCCGTCGTATGAACCACGCCGGAGTGCCTGGATCATACGACATCTGGCTGCCCTTTGGGGGGGAAAAAAATAAAAATAAATAAATCTCTCAATAGCTAACCTATTAATTAATAATTGCTATAATAGGCAGAGTAACCCCCTAATTACTATCATAGGGGGAGCCCTAATTACTAAAAAAAAAATAAAAAAATAAAAAAATTAAGCAGTTCAACAAGACAACAAAATTAACAGAAAACCTAAATCAGAGCGGAATTAATAAATGCCCTAGACTCCACTAGTCTCTCTAAATTCACATGGGGCTCCTATCAAGATGCAATAAATGCATCTTTTTTTTTTCTTTTTTCTTTTTTTGTGAAATGCATCTTTTTTTTTTGTTTTTTTTTTGGGGGGCTACGGTGCAGTGAGGGTTTGAGTTTGAAAATGT